CCTGTGCAGATTCGGGGGCGCACGCCTCCCCCACGTGTTCCCACGGTGTGTGCAGCAGGAGACACCCCCCCTTCCCCAGATGAGCCATGGCTCCATCCTGTGCCCACCCCGCCCCAGCTGGGCAGCACCTGCCCCAGCCTCACTTCCTCCCTCACCCCAAGGGCCTTGATCTGCCCTCTCCTTCTACACCCCTTCCACCACAACAGACTTACCTGCTGCATGCAGCTCTCCAAGCTGCTGGGCCACGTTCCTCACTGCCTACGTGCTGCGCTGCAGCTGTGTGCCTGCATGAGCCATTTATCAGCCAAATTATTGGACACAAGAGGCTGATTTCCGATAGACAATAATATCTGTGCCAATCCAATATGAGACTAATGTATTGGTGCACCACTAAAGGTATACATGTTACTTTTAACAGCCTTGTGTGTGGCTTCTTAAAAAAAAAAAAAAAAGGCTGTATAGATCAAAAGCAACATGTAGTCTTTGAGTGCTTAGTTTTAGATTTTTCTAATGTAAATAGTATATGAACAATTAAATATTAGTCTTTGAAATTAATTAAATAATGCAACTCAGTTCTGAAACAGGGAAATTGGGTGGAAAAAATGTCAGAGCAGGTAGCTTTCCCATGAAGCAGGAAAAACAAATTCACCTGGCTAATGCACAATTTTAAGTTATAAAAGAAGATCATAATGATCTTATATCAAATAGTTTCAAGAATCAAATAAGTTAGTGCTTACTAAGACTAGTAATTTTCTCCCTGGGATTTCACCGCACTCTTACTTCATAAGTTATTAACATTATGTAGCAATAACAATTGTGCAGACAAAAATTGTTAATAGCCAATTTTAGTATTCTTTTAAAGGCTTTATTAGGATTTAATTACAAAAATGACAAGGTTAGCATTTTTCCAGAAGCTATGTTAATTCTTAAAAACAACCCTTTCAATTAATTATCAAACTAATGCCCAGTACAAAGAATCATAAGATTATTTACAGAACTTACTTGTAAATGGCTTTTAGCAAGTTCTAGAAAACATTGTGCTAAGCTATTTTAAGTAAGAAAAAAAAATAGCTACCTTCACTGTGAATCTGCATGGGGCATTCAGTTTCACCAACCATTTTTTTTAGGTGTGTAACTGTGAAGCTAAATGTTAAATGCTCATCAGTACTGCACTACTGCCCTGTTATAAATTGAAGGAAAAAAAAATAGCTACAGAATTGGGAAAGCGTTCTCAGTATTAAAGCTAGTGCACAATATGAAAGTCTCTGAGTACAACCATAAAAGAGGCAAACAGCTAAAGCTTAAGGACATTTAACCAGCATCCAATCATCATGAATGCAAAATGCAGCATCACCCTTCTAGGTGGGAAACAAAGTGCAGACACAGAACTCACTGACAAATCAGGATCTGCATCTTCAGGTGCATAGGGAAAGCTGCTATTTGCACATATCTGCACAGGTTCCTTTCACTATGAAACAAATATGGAACTTCCAAAGATAAGGGTCATCTGAATCAACATTATAATCTATGCAAGATGAAAGATTAAAGTGGTCAAGTTAAAAAATTAAAAAGAAAAAATAAGAAGAGACAGTGCTAATACATTTCCATGTCTTCAGTTTTTTGTCAAGAGAAAAGTAACATCTCTTTATAATTCTGGGGGGGAAAAAGAACACAGGTAATCGAAAAAGTAGTATTACACAAGAAGGATCCCTGAAGCAGTTAACTGAATAAGATGGATTTAATTGAATAATTAATTCCCTCCTTTAATTATTTATACCAAAAACATATAGTAGCATAAAAACTATTATTTCAGCAAATGCATTAGCGTATTTTTTTCTATTTTCAACAGCTGACCTATTGGCTGTAGTATTCATTCTCTGAAAAAAAAGTGAGACATTATTCATATTTATCTACCTCTAGATTTTTTTTTATGGTATCCACAACTACAATATATGCCCATGAATCTAATGTATGTTTGAGTTCCTATACTAGACACGAAATTAGTTGTGCCATCATAGTCAATTATCTGCTTTAGGGCATACCAGAGGTTTCTACTGATCTATCCAACACATTTAACACTAACACTACATTTGACATACTTATATAAGCATCATATACTGGTTGTATAATTTGGTATGTATGATTCAGTTAAATAATCATTTCAATTTCTATCATGCTTAAGCAAAGTGGTGAGAATTTAAAATGTTTATAGCTTACATTAAAAAACAAAAAAGATATTTTTTTAAAACACCTCAACATGAGGGATATTGTCAGCAGCAGGTATTACACTAGCAGGTGATGATGAGTTTCTGCAACACCTCTGCCAATGCTGCTCTTGCCTAACCTTTCACATCTTTGGTTTATGGAGATTACCAACCATGTACCATTCCACTGCATCTCTGTAATGGTAGAATATACCAAGGACTACATTTAAGCCACCAAGTCAATTTTATTTTGGACCTAAGACTTAAGTCAGATCTAAATTTTCAAAAGTAATGATCCAATAAATTAAACACACCTTCCAACTTTACTCCTTCTTGAAGAAGGATTAAAAAGTTAACTGGATTACTTACTACTAGAGCAAACTTTAGAAATGTTTTAGCATTTGAGAAGAGGACAGGTATTTTTTAAAGACCTGTAAATATCTTTCAAAAAGGCGAAAATATATAAAACATAAGAAGTAACAAAATCAAGGGAAGGGGAGAAGAATATTTTAAAAATTATTGAACCAAAATTCAGCATAGACAACACTGTTTCTAGTTTGCAAAGCGCAGTTAAATTATTCAGAGTTAGAACTTGGTGAATATTTTATATTCACAAAAAATATCAAAGAAGAAAGCATGTCAGTTCATCTAGACAATACATCATTCACTCACACGGCTACAGACACCCATTAATGTAAAGTTCAATTTCCATGCATTTATTCTCAAGCTGCCTTCCATACTCGAGGCAAGTCACCTACACATGGCTAGTTACTGAAATCAGAATCATTCAAGCACTGCTTATTTTTGTTATTTCACATATATGGCAGCCTCATAGTCACAGCTAAGCATCTCAAATAAGGAAGGCAAAAAAGTTACAGATTCTTACCTGCCACTCCAGCTGAAATCATGTGTACCTGGCTGGTATCTGGATCAAAAATACTGTTCAACTTTTCCTTGCAATTTGAGTAAGCACCAAAGTATATTGCTCTAAAATCAGAACAAGATCCAAGATTTAATTTTGTATCTTAGATGTAGCTAACAAAGCACTGCTAATGCAGAACAGATAGATCTCTGGCTTCATTGTTTAGAGATACTATACAATGACAAAAATATTACTATGAAGAAAGCAGCTCAAGCTGCAATTCCACAAGCACTTGAATCCTGAGGTATGGGGAAGGAGAACTGGGGGGGAAAAAAAGGAATGGAGTGGTGTTTATTCATCTCATCCCTTCTGCAACACTCCAAAATCTATACTGGCCATAACAAGCGTGAAGGGTTTAATTGTGAACTTGAGAACTCCAGCTTTCCGGTCATCTTGTGTGGCAATGGCCTGCTTAATTAACATGCAGTCTTATTACTTACGAAAACATAGAACAAAGCCACACCAGACTGTACTAGGCAAACTACTCATTTTAATGATATTACATTGTCACACTGGTTCTACTTTTTAGAAAGAAGGTAACAGGGAAATCCAAAGAACCATTCTTTATTTTTGGGTTGCTTTGCTTAGAGTGTGAGTTTTACATAGTACACTAGAAACAGACCCTTCCCACTGTTCTTCCTTTCAGTTTTTGATTGAACCTTTCTGAAATGATTCATTCAAAATTTTCTTACCAAATACAAAAGAACTATACAAGTATTTGCAAATTGTGTTCAATCGAAAATTATACTAAAAATGACCAATGTGTTTTTTAGCATCTAAACAGACTACCATGCAAATTTTAGAAAGGTTGTTTTAACCTCACAATAGCTATAAAATTTATTTTCTGCGATCATGTATGTGCTTATTATTATTATTAGGTAAGCAATGACTTGTACACTTTTAACCGTTATACAAAATCTACATGATCAACCCCCCCAACAAACAAAAAAGCACCCGTCAAAATACATATCCGCGTTCTTCATTAAACAGAACATTAAGTTAATCTGATTAGCTCTGCAAACATGTTTTTCTTCAGAACAAAATGATAAAGTACTTGCTTTCTGAGATGTAATTTTTAAAATGGGATCTGAACCCAGCTGAATATGCTGTATGAGTTATGAAACTTTTTTTTTTTTTTTTTTACAGCTTATTCAAACAAAGAGCTCCTGGGAAAGTCACTTAGCAAAAGCTTAATTGAAACAAAGTGTTTGATGAAAGCTGGAGACTGGAAAAAAAAGCCAGGATGTGCTAACTCACAAGGCTAAATACATTATCAATCAGACAACTCTAATGTGAAAACTGAAGAAAAACAAACTCACATACACAAGCTATAATATTTCATCTCTGTCAGTTTCGGAAGAGTTAACTGACCATTACAGAGCACCCCATAAAGAAGAATCCACTTAGAGAGATAAATTTAAAATCAATTTTGAGAGCACACACAATTTGAGGCAAGTATACCAAAGTATTCCTCAGCATTTTCAGGGGAATTAGTCAAATGGACTTAAAAGACACTTTTAGGCCCCAGCCTTTTTAATTCTAGTTAGTCCTTCTAGAACTTTTAGCCCACAGCTAAAAGTTATAAACTAATGCTCTATGTTATGCAAAAAATAATAAAGAATAATACTACTAATACTAGAAATGCAGATATTACCTTGGTTCCACAAAACACTCAATATAGTTCAATGTCTAACATATGGCAGAGTCATTTCACTTATAAAACAGGCATTTTTATTTTACCTGGAAGGAGCAACGCCTACCAAATTAGGACCTAGCCCTCTAAAGAGAGAACGAGGACCTTCTTTTTGCAGGATCATCCTGAAAAAAAAAAAACAAAACACAAAAGAAGTTGTAACAGTAAAACAAAACCAAACCCACACTATATATTAAAAGCAGATAACTGCAGTACACAATACTATAGTTCTTTTTTTTTTTTAAATAAACAAACTACTAATTTTGTCATTTTAACAGATTTAACCCTCGAAGTCAAAGGGTTCACCCATGTGTAATGTTTTTTTCTGGCAAGCAGTGGTCTCATAGTAAATACAACACATTAATAATCATTCTTAGAACTGGATCATCTGCTGTACTATAGATTCACATTTGTTCTCAGGAGGCAGGAACAAACATTCAATTTTATTGCATCTTTCTCCAATTCCTCCGTGTTCCCAACATAAGATTTAGAGGAATTTAAGTCTCATGAAAAATTCTACTGCCACACAAAAGATTTATCAAACCGTAAGACACTCAAGTGAATGTCCAGTTTTTGACCCCTATCCTAAAATACAGTTTCCAGACACATTATAGTCCTTTTGATCTGGGAACTCCCTCACAACAAATGCAGCTAGACAGGGCAAGTACTGAAGTAGTCCGATCTCTTCCCAACCACTCTGCAGGATTAAGGCTTAGCTGTTAAGGGATCAATTTCTTCTTAGTTTTTCATCCTATGCATTCCTATGGAAGTTACCAACTGTAAATCCAAGTAAAATTGGAGCCCTTGTTTTGTACAGCTTGACTCCTTACCAGGCACAAGTATTCTCACTCCAATCCACAAAGCACTTTAGCATATAATGAATTTAATCACATGAGTAACTTATTGTCTCCACACAGACTAATCATGCTTAAGCTTAAGTAAGTGTGTAAGAGTTTTGCTGGATCAGGAATAAGGTGTGCAGCATTCTGCAGGGCTGAGGCCAGTAACCTTACAGTTCTGGGAACAGTGGGGGTGAACAAGGGCCACTAGACATTTTTAAGAGGATAGACAAAGGAATAAGAAACATACACTTTAGCTTAATAAGCTTTATACTGAGCATTAACACAGTACTTTCAATTTACTATTGTCAGCATTAAAGGATTTGGAATACTTGCTCCACTGAGGTGTAATTTTTTTTTTTAAAGTAGACTATATTACATGTGTTGAATCTCAGCACAGGGTTTGTTCCAAGATGCCTGGATACAATAAGGTTTTGTTGAAGGTGCACATTGCTGGTCCTACAGAAAATGTATCTAAAGCTTAAGCCTTGATTATAGAATTCCAGCTTTGGATAAAGAGAAAAAAAAGAGAGGATATCAGTGCCACTGCAAGAAGGAATTTTAACCGCTCAACTGGATGTTGCAATGTAGGACTCCAAGCTTATCAGCTTAGATAAGCCATCCAATACACACAGTATTTTTCAGGCATATTCCTTGTTCAAAAAGATATCCAGGTTAATGACAGCAGAGTCAGTCAATTATACAAACTTCATAGTTGCGTAAATTGTTTAGAGAAGTTTAAACTGATTAGTCTGAATATACACATACATCTAAGTCAGTGTTCTAGGGGATTTCAAAGTATTCTGAAAACCAGCATTTTGAACATTTGCGATCATTTGATTTTTTTTTTTTTATGTAGAATATACACAGATGTGTGTGCATTCTATATAATGAGAGGGCGTTTTATGATCAGTTGCTCTTGTGCTTCTTGTACAAGCGCACTCGTCCACATCCCACAGCTGAAAAAATCAGATGCACTTTCACAACCTGTAGTGGAGGAGAGCACGGCTCACCTGAAACTGCATATAGTAAAACCCCCTCTCAAGTCACCAGCAGATTGCAGGATATAAGTCTGAAGTATGACTGGCCTCACCTGGGGCTTGTCTATACTGAAAGGGATGCTCCAGGAATTACAACATCTGGAAATTTATCACTTAAAAAGCTGAATGCCTTTTTCTATTAAAATGTTTTTGTGGGTTTTATTCAGACCTTTATCTGAAGAAGGAAGCAATTACGGAGAGCTATAGTCAGGAAATCTAAATTCAATTACTTGTTAACAGACTCACCCATAGTGAAAAAGGCTGCCATTGGACAAACAGTACCAAAAGCTAAGTTTTAATTGCTTTTTTCTTTTAAAAAACTGACTTATTCTTGAACTATTAAAATATTTTGGCTGAAAGTAAGAGTATGTAACACAGGATAACTTTTAGGGGTTGCTGTGGATAACTCAGACATCTATTACCATCACTGATATAAACTAAGAAAGGAGGAAGATTTTATTGTGCAATTGGCACCTAGTTATTTAGTGTGCATGTACACGTACATTTCTTCCCACTACCCCCCCAACTACCATACCCACCATCTTTTTAAGTGCGTGTAGGTGGGAGGGGTTGGAGTGGGGTGTGGGAGTTGTCCTTTCCCCCTCTAGATGCAATGTACAAGTCTTACACAGACAATGAGCAAATCTGATAGACTAGAAAACGTGCAACTGTTCAGCATTACATCTAAATGTAAGAAAAATTATTCTAGTTCTTATTATACTTGAATTTGAGTTACTTTTTAACAATTCATTCCATTTCAACTTTGGCAACAGCTCTTAGATTTTATTATATGTGGAACTGGACTGGTTGAAACATGCCATTCTAAAGAGAAATGAGCTTGTGTAATGTATATGTGCAGAAGGGCATTCAATTGCTGAAAGCAAAGTAACTGAGATTAATTTAAATAAAGCAGGTGAGGCTGCAAGAGTCAACTGTACAAATTTTAATGCCATCGAGTACTTCCTGAGTGCTCACTAGTAACATGTTCTTTTTACATTTTGTTTCTTTCAGAGTTAAAGACAGAAAACAGTTGCTACCAAAAGGCAAACAGCTATACCTTCATTCAAGATTTTTGTGATATCTGCTGCCTGAACCAAGAAACAATAATGATGGCAAGTCCTGGGCCACATGGAGTAGCTAACAGGAAGTTTTATTGCAAAGAGAGTTCACCTAACCATTCTGATAGGCGCTGTGATGTAAAAATCAGCACTCAGTGGCTGGATGGTCCAATGAAATGCACACTTCTATCCAAGACTATCATCATGTTTTATTTTAGAAACATCCTATGGAATGGGTTTGCTTTAGAAAGCACGTACAGCTCCTTAATAAATTTTATCTGAAACTATTTTAGTCAAAAGAAAAACATATAGCCCACCCTCCCCGCAATATACAATTATCTGGTTTAAAGTGCAACACAGCGGACGCAATCAGTAAACAATTACTCCAGATTAGCACAGCATATTCCTCCTTCCTATGTGAATAGCTATGCCAGCATATGGCTCCTGTATACCAATAGAACTACTGTCCACAACTGTACAGTAGCTATTCTTACTGTGAAGTCGGAGAGGTTCTTACATCCTCAGAACAGCCAGCTACCAGTCTAGTTCTTATGTTGTAGTTACCGCTCTTGGCAGGGGGTGCGAAACTAATAAGCTCTTCAGGGCTTGCTTCTTAAAACAGATGGTAGTATATTTCCACTGCTTTCAAGCACATTTTTACATCACCCTTGGAGAAGATACTTTCTGGGACCAACAGAACCCCACTCCCACCCCCACTTTATCAACACTTTCTCATCCACCTTCTCACCTTCTGAGAGTAGAAGCCACAAAACTGCTGTTACCCACTTCTCATTTCAAAAGACTTCTCTGAAATCCAGACTTCTAAGTCAACAGCACCCCTTGCGGAGGATGCTGTGCCATTAATAACAGTTCTCCAGGGTAACACCCCTATTGATTCCCCTATTAGGATCAGGATTTTACCCCTCTTGCACAGATCACTAGCCAGGACAGAAGTGCTAGTTATTTCACAAACAACAATTGTAAAACTGTAAGAGTCAAATTTGAATACTACTAACATTCATGCAAAACCACCACCATTTGATTAAAGACCTAGTCTGCTAAGCAAAGGCTGAATTCAGACTTTGGGTGCCAAGTCATTTCACCCAATGCATCCCATCAGAAGTCTTAAATTTATGTTAAATATGAAACCTTCCTGGTCTAGATACTATGCTTCCCAAAGATCTAAGACTGACCCATGCACAGAAATTCTGTGCAGGGCAAGGCAACACAGGGGATCAGATTTACAACCACTTGAGTTTCTCTGCGATTGCCAAGGAATGCTGGTTGGAACAGTACCAGAAAAAGAACATGGCTGGACAGCTAAGGTGATTAACAGGCACAAGGGACTCTCTAAATGGGTGTCACCTCTTCATTTTTCCAAATAAGCAAAGTTTAAAATCACACTATTGCACAGGGTAGAAACAACACTTCTCATTCTTAAATATGAAGACTATTTCCAACAAAATAGAGGGAAAAACATCTGCTCTTGGAAGGAAAAAAAAAGTCCCCCTCCTATTCTTCCTGATCAAAGATCCACGCTCAACAGGACCTCTGCCTCATTCAGTACTCAAGATGAACCCACAGTGGGAATGAATGGGGTTGTTAAGCAAAGGAGGCTGATTTTGTTGATGAAGTAGGAATGTGTGTTGTGAAGAAGACAAAAATTGCAGGAGCAGGAATGTGGTTTTAGGGCTAAGGCAGCCAACTCCTAGGGATCTGGATTCTATCACTGACTTTTCCAGAGTCCCAATGTGATGTCCTAACCAAGACCATAACTACTGCTTCCTCACTTTTTGGGTGCTGGACTTGAGATCCTGGAGGGAATAAGTTTGCTGACTCTTCTCTTGATCCAGAGTTCTCTGGTGATCAAAAGCTGATGAACAACTACATGGAAACAGAATTTCATGACAATGAACCAATTACTTAATCAGTGCCATCCTTTGGTGGACCTTCTTTTGGGGCTGAAGTACCAGTTCAGTCTTACTACCCCAAAACATATCCAAATGCTACATTTGAATAACTGCACGTAGAGCTGTGATTAACATTATCACATTCAACAACAACAACTGTACAAAATCAGCTCTCCCTTAGAAAGCACTATTTCTAAAATTTTGTGATATTCCCACAAAGGAAAATAATCCCCTCTGGACAACGAAAGAGGGTATGTGAAACAAGAAACGTGCATGTGGTACTCACTTCAAACAATGGAGAGGTCCAGGGGAAACTCTAGTTACTCGATTGACACTAGCACCACTCACAGTGTTGAGGTGAACTTCAGAGATGTAGACAGTTATAGAAGAGGATTGCAACCGTGTTTTCACAACTTCTAGTGGACAAGTCAGAATGGCCCCAACAGTGCCTCCACATCTGCAAAAAGGAGAAAGATTACTGTAGTTTTAAGTCACGACGGAAACAGAAAAAGTTAATACTCAACTAGATGCATACAAATTGACACAATATCATAGTCAGAAGGAGGACGCCTGTGCTTTGAACCTGTACAACAGTACTGCAGTTATCACTTGTACTTCAATGAAAGACACAAATCAATTTCTCTCCATTAATTTAACTGCTTAGAGTAAATATACTTACTGACAAAACAAGTAACTGACTGTAGCAAAACTGCACAAGAATACAATCTGCTCTGGAAGACAACCTAGTGTCTCAACCTTCTTCTTGTAATGTTTAGCATATTCCTGATAAAAAAAACCTGTTAAAAATCTCATTTATAAAACTATGGGGTATATGGGTTCAGAGACAACACATGTGGCATTACATTTAGCTAAGGGAGAGGAGGCAAATAAAGTAGGTGGGCACAATATTTTAAGGGCTATTTTTACATATCCTCATTTATTTCAAGGAATCCACTTTGTTTTGAAGGTTGCAAAGGGAAAACAGTGACTTTCTGAACATCTATTAAGATTTTTCCTTCAAGAGCACCAATTTCGATTATACCCGCTGAATACCCACTGAATTTAATGGCACTAGCGCTCACTTATCTGAAGGCTGTGCATGCAGGGCCTGCAGACAGTTGCAAAGTGCCATCAAAACTTGTTTGTTCTTGCTGGAAACCTAAAAGCTTCTCAACACTGGACATGACTATTACTTATAAGTATTGCTGCCTTATTCAACAGCTCTTATCTGCCTGCTAACATTACTTGACTATGTTCCAAAAATGTTCCAAACCAGGCCAAGGTTTTTTCCAAAGAGTTAAAACTTTCTTGCAGGAGACCTGATCTAGTTTTCACTCAAAAGAAGTTTTGTTTCTGTATCTAACACTGATCCTTTCCTTCTGCAGGGAATTAATGGAAACTGTGATTACAATTTGTATTGCAAACTTCATGAAACTACAGGGCACTATTCATTCACAGAGTCAATTAAGGATATACAGAGAATAATCATAACCTTTAGTCATCTTCAGCTGGGCTACATTTAAAACTAGCTATGTGCTGGAATCCTGTTACTGATCCCAAGAGCGAATGAGCCCTTTCTGACTAAGATTATCCTAAAAAGAATTCCCTTCCAAGTTTTAAAAATAGAAACTGTGTCAAGAATTTTTTCCTTCTATTTTCAGTAATCTGTGTCACTATAATATCACTAAAAGATTAAGAGCCTCAACATACTAAAGAGTGTTTGTGCATTAAATATTGAAGAGATTTCAAAATTTGCATGCAGACTGTACAGTGAGAGGTACATAAATGCTTTGGCAGACAAACTCTACAACAGCCTATGTATGTAGGGGGTATACAACAGGGTGTTAACTTACTTTATGAACTTTAGATATCTTCATTACCAAATGAAGCTACTAGTAAAAATAAAAATGTTTCTTTTATAGCCCCCACCATCTCATTATTCACGAGCCGTGCCTGGTACCTCAAGGTATGTAGAAAAAACATTTAAAGCTGTGTCTATGGCCGAATCAGCATTGAATCTTCAGATTCCGATTTGGCTGAATCAGATCAGGACAGTGATCCGAATCACTGTCCCCCGATTGGGCCAAATCCAAATCCGAATCAAATACAGCCTATTTTGCACACACCTACTAACTACCCCTCTCTTCAACAGGACACGGTAACTGAATCATGGGCATTGATTGATATGCATACCTTTGTCTGGTCCAACCCGGTGGAAAACCGGCATGTCAGAGCATACTCAATCCTCAGTGATTAAGTAACCTGCCAGAACAACACAGGAAGTGACGGAGCTGGGCTCAGAGCCCAGATTTCCTCTCTTCATCTGTGCTTTAGCCAAAATACTAGCATTTTTTTCAGTACCTTTAAAAATAAAAGGTACTTTTCACTGAAAACTTTTTATAATACCATATCACATTAATATATGATGGCAGATGTAGAGGAGAAATGTTAGGATGGAAATACCATAGGTACTTGTTACGTATTTTTATGAAAGACAAGGAAAGATCTGTGTAACTTACGGAAGTCATAAATAAACTGCACAAAAAACCCCTGCTCAAACATTAAATGCTCTTAAAATGGAAGTGTGCAAGCTGAGCCAGTAAGATGAGCTAAAGGCTGCTACAGTTGCTTGTTCAGACCTTGATACACATTTATGAAAAAAAACTGTCACTTTTTCTCATCCTGAGCTGCAAATAGAAAGAAAGTAGATTTAGATATCCAAGAGACAACCAAACCAGAGTTTAGATCTTAATTTTTTTTTTAAGGTACAAAACATTTTATAAAAATGGGAAAAATAAGAACACCTCATTTTATTAGTTTTCAATGTTGGTGTCTCTATTTCCAGTCTACAAAGAAGAAATTCACAGAACCCTAAATGAACATTATGGAGACTGGGTTTTTGCCCTCATACTCATCTCTCCAAAAACACCTGTATCACTGAGAAACAAGACTCACTATATTCAAGAAAGTACCATACCAGCCAATTACTTTATCCAACAATAAGTTTCAAAAGTGGAAAGAACTTTTTGATATAGGAAAGCACGTTTACTCAGTGCTCAGATGGGTTACCAACACAGAGAGACAGAAAGACCACTGCAGAAACACTTTAAGCCTGGAATATACTTTCCTACATTATCTTTTGCCATCAAAGCAGAGATTCCAGGTAATACTTGACAGATGATTCTTACTGCTAAGTAGAGTAAATCAGTAGGGGCCAATTTTTCTGGCAGGCATGCCATAAATTAACCCTATACCTTTCTGGAGGACCACAAGGATCCCTTCTTTTGCCCAACCTGCTGTTCTGCTTTCTGCTCTCTGCCCTGCTGCTCTTCTTTCAGCTCCCTGCCCTATCTGCCACTGTGCTGTCTGTGCCCTCCCTGATCTGCTACATGCCACAAACAGGAGCTGATGTGTGGCAGGTTGACCAGCTGTGCAGTAAACAATTTAAAGAGCCTCCAAAAGGTCAAAGTTAAAAGATTATTATGATAGCTTTAGCATAGTTAGTTCCAGTACCTTATATTTATTTTATGCTCCTTCAACATTTTTTCAACTCTGCCAACACAAAGACACTATTTTTATTATCATATACTAGCACAAAGCTGCAACATTCCAGTTGCAAGGAAACATCTGAGCCAAATCCAAACCTGCACTGAAAAAAAATCATATCACCTTGTTTATTTAGTTTAGCTTTCTGCAAAACACAGAATAACCCAGGTTTTGCACCTGCCCTGTCACAGAGTAGAAAAGGGGAGAGAAATGTTCAATTTTTTTTAATTACAATAAAGAGAAGAGAGTAAGGCTACAATTCTTTATATTTGAAACCAATGGTTCATTGGCCGTCTACCAGTTTGGATGGAAAAAAAAAAAAAAAAATCTACAACCACTTAGGAACTATATCTAACTGAAGTACTTAACTGCAGTTACAACTCACTGAACAGGTATTTAAGTACTAGGAGAACACCAAGTCCTGAAAAAAAATGGATTTATTTAAATAAAATAATTCTGAATTTTAAACATGAATCATATTATCAAAACTCACTTATCCCAAAACTGGTATTCAATACACAGAAGTTGTGAGCAAAGAATTCAAATATTAGAGGGTGGTAAACATTATAATCTGTGCAGACAAGAAAAGCTTTATTTATTAAACAGGTCAGCTGCCATTCCAAATAGCATAAATGAGACCAATGTCCATTTTAACAGAAAACACGTGTTGTACACATGTACAAGGCAAATTCCTTTATTAGTTTTTTTGTTTCCTGGCTTGCCGATTTAACAGGACAGCTACCAGAAATACTGTGAAAGAAACAGTCTCTTCTTTGTATTCATGAGCCTGGCATGCCATTAATAGATGGCCAGCAACTATAGTTTAGTAAGAGATGCTCTGTAAGCTGCCAGCAAAGCCGCCTCTAATTAGCACTTATCATGCTGCCTTCACTCCTGACAGACTTTAAATCTGGGGACAAACCTTTCCTATTTGTGCATTAACAAAAGCCATAATGTCTCCCAATACAGAATGTTTTTACAGGGGGGAAAAGCCAACTTACTCCTCCCTAAAAGCCCAGTCAGTACATAGTTTATTTAAATTTTAACCCCCCACAAAGAAAGTTGCAATAACTTATGTCCACAAGTAATTTTACTCAAATGCAGGTCACAGTGACCGATCCTTATTATGGGATCAGATCTTTACCAACACTGTCACCAAGCAGACTGTAATCAATGGTTTCTAAAAAGAAGTTTAAAATACACTTCTTTCGACTCCTTTCAATGTCTGCAAGATGCTTTGTAAAGGATGAATTCAGCACTCACACAGAGTACCCTACAGAACATGTTCTAAAATCTGATAAGTATTTTTAACTGTACTTTTACCAGATGTCTTATCAGCTTTGCCAACATATTCCTCATGTAGCCTATTAACCTTACCTCTCACCAGAGATGTCATGCTATAGCTTCTGATCCTATAATGCAGCCTATACAAGAGGATTCCAAGTCCCCATGTAAAACCCTATTGATTTAAAGACTGCATGACTGGTACCTTGCTACAGATCTGCCAAGAAGGAAAAATTACCACATGAAAACTGTACGTTTGTGATGCAACAGATTTGACCCCACTGCATATTTAAAAAAAAAGTATCTGTCCACTTAAGGAACAAAAAGGAGCCCATTTATTGTTTGCTTGTTCTGTTTTCAATTAATACTTTAAAATCACCATGGTTAAGAGAGTAACAATCTCAGTGAAGGCAATGAAGCTATATAATAACAGCCAGGGCCTACTTTTTCCTACAGAAACTTTATTACTGGCAATGATGTGAGAAGGAAAATACCTAGTTTGACAAGTTAAGTTTCTACAGTTGGCCAAAGAAGAACACAGCAAGTGACAAGTTATCAGAGATGTGTAGTCTAACATCTCTGCTTAACTACCTCTCATTGCTGCATTAGCAAAGGTGCAACTCCACT